GGGAGAGGGAGAGGGAGAGAGGGGAGGAATTGAGCATTTGCGACCGATTGACATGCAAATCAATTTTGCTTTGGATATCTACAGATATCGATATGCTGATGCTTCTCGCTTCTTTTTTCTTTCAGACACACAATGATAATAAACATGTCGAGTTTTTCTGATTATCGGTAGTTTTCTTTGTACTTGCGCGTCCTCACATGTATGTACGAAACGGCTCTTTTTAATCTAGTTTATATTTGATGTATATAGCCATGATTTGCCAATGCAAAAGAAAGAAAAAAGGTATTGCCGATCATAAAATACCTTTTTTTAGCGCAAGTGATGATCACTAGGGACATAAAGGATATGACGGGTATTTTGAATTTTTGAATTTTTTGGAGCCGGCTTCTTATTTGCACCCAATTGCTTCTTTTATTCTTTCTTTCGCTGACCTGTTCTATAAATAATTTTGCTTTTTGGACGCACATATCCGCATCGTTTATTTTTGGTAGCGAAAACTACACCCTAATTTCTCCTTCATTTGCGGCACTTTTTTTACCACGTTTTGCGTTTATTTTTCTTCATCCGCCAAGCTACACAACTGCACAAAAAAAGTAAAACCTCAATGGCTTTTCACTTCTCTAATGCAATGTGACAAACTATTTTGTTAGCGAGAGAAGTGAAATAAGTGGGAATTGCGATGGTGCAAGAATAAATCACAAAATAATAAAACAAATCCGGTTTTCCCACTCAAACAATAGAAAACCTATTGCTGGTGGCAGCAGCAGAAATAAATCGAAATACAGTGCAGATGGCACATTTTCCCCCTGAAACTTTCGAAAACAAACAAACAAAAAAAGAAAAATAAGAAAGAACGGTGAGCATAAAGTCCAACTTTTTTGGTTGCTTCCTTTGTATAATAATCTTACGGCTTTGCCCTTTTCCTCTTTTTTTGTCATTTTTTTGCACTCTTGGCAATTTTTTTTCTCTCTCTCTCTCTTTTACTTATATTTTATTTTTTGCTCGATTATATTATTTATTCCACATACTCACCCGCACTCAATCCTTTTATATTCCACTCTATTACCAAACAACAGAAACAACAGAAATCTTTGCCAATGAAGCTTTTCGCAGTCTCCGCCATCGCACTGGCCACATTTAGCAGCACCGCGTTTTCCCAGGCTGACCTGGTAGCTGACGCAGGCACCATCACCAACACACAGTCCTTTGCCTCAGCTGTCAAGGACCAGTGGGTGAACGTATACTACAAGGTGAACCAAAATATCTTTGATTTGAAGTTTGCCGACAAACCCGCCGAGTACTTTACTGCCACCTGGCTTTATGGCACAGACCAGCTTCCGGCCTCGTACAACCCGACATGGGCACCTGGGTTCCTTGCCCGTGCCCAGGCTCTGCACGAGAAAACTGCCGGTGTGTCGGAAGATGAGTCGTCGACAGAGGAAGAGGGTATTGATAGTGAGGATTCTTCGGAGAGCGATGGGCTGGACTCGGTGGATGACGATGACTCATCGTCGGCAAGTAGCAGCAGCAGCTCGTCGGCTTCGGCTGGACGCGGATACGCTGGGGTGATGGGTGCGGCCTTGACTGTTGCGGTTGCTGCTGCGGCGGCTATCATGTAACGGGGGTTTGTGTTATTTGGATTAAACAAAACTGTTTTGTGTGTGTGTCAATTTTCCACTTATGCCATTGAGCAAAATGAACTGCTTGCACTTGATATTTGACACACCATATCCTCCTCCCCCTCCCCCTCTTTTTTAATGTTTTATTGTCACTTATAACTATGCATTCAATGTTTATTTTAAATAAAGTTGCTCTTGTTTATTTATTTTTTACTTGGTTGCATAATGTATGCTGGCTGATGCTGTTTAAAGTTCTCATTGAAAATAAGTTTGGTTTTCGGAAGCTAGAGACAAAAAACACGCAGTAGAAGAAAGCAGTAAACATCAACCCAGCCAACAAAAAAGAGAGAAGAAAACAAGTATTGTGCGTTATTTTGCACTCAAGTGGACAATATTCCCACCCAACTTTTTTATTTTTAGCATTAACCAAATGACAATATATATATAAACCCTTTTAATTCTATTTACGAATATACCGCGTGAAAACATCAGTGTATAGCATGAAAAGCACCTCGTCCTTGAGCTCATCCAACAGCGTCAACGGATATTCGTGCGAGTTAATTCCCTCAGTAACGCGCCTAACCACAGGCTGCGTGGCATTAACCGACGCGTACGAAATCGGGTCAACAAAGACAGCAAAAATGTCGTCAATCTTTTCAATCAGAGCTGGCGGAAACTGCAACACCCCACTTTTGTCCTTATATGGATTGATTTCAACCGGGCACTCTTTTTTGACAGTCTCCAGAATGCTAACATTGATACCAGTGGTGCACCTGCCGCCCTGTGTAGATGCAGTGTAGTCTAAAGCCAGCGAGCTTGCAGCCATGCTTTGGGCCTTATGACGCCGGTTAATGGAATCCACCATATTGTTGTACTGCGCATCTATTGACTCCATATGTGCGTCCGTATCGGGGGACGGGGGGATAATCTGCGATAGGCCTGAGCCCTCAGTCTGGTTCTGGTTCTGGTCCTGGAGAACAGCCACTGTGCGCGCCTTTAACGCCTGGTACTCCTCGACAAATCCAGTCAGCTCGGAGCAGAAACACGAGACCGCAAACATGCGGAATTTCTGATACTCCATAGGATCATCCAACATCCGATTAAATCCAAAGCGGCGGCCCTGGCTAATATTCACTGTGGCGTGAGCATCGGATGGCAGCAAATTGATTCTGAACGGCAGTATCTCCTGGCTCTGAGATATTTTAATATGCTGCATAGAGCGCAGCAACGGGATAAACACGGATGTGATGTGGATGAGCACAGCAAAAAACCAGATAAATGATAGGCCGGGCCAGATCTGCTGCGTCTCATGCAGCACGTTAACCCAGACAATTGTCACTGCCATGCAGACGACGCCGACGGTATCGCAGATAATCAGGTCGTTGCGAATCCCGTACGCGTCGTTGTCGCGCCAGACACGCCACAGAATAACCGGAAAAACAACGAAAAAGTACAAGATGATGATGCCCGTGACTGGGAAGAACCCCCACATGAAGAAGCAGTAGATGTTGACCGGCCGCATGGCAAACTGCTTATCCGTGATGTTAATTACCAAGGTTAGGATGCCGCCAAGCGCCATGATTACGCTAATGTAGATGATCAGCATGCGGTCGGTGACGTACGGCAGCAGCCGCTTGTACTTTTCGAGCTGCCGCGCCTGGCGCATCCTCGGAACTGAGTCAGCCATCATAAGGACGGAGTCGACAGATCCCGTGATGGTAACATGGCTTGCCGGGTACGCTGCCTTGGCGGACTGCCCCGTGGACCAAATTTCCATCGACTGCATCAGCTTCGGGTCCCGTGTGGACAACTGGTTGCTGAGCTCATGCACCTTGTAAACAACCATCAACCGGAACGCCCGTGCGGACATCGCAGATAAGGTCAGAAGAAACCCAATATTGAACAGCCACAGTTTGCCAAAACACGCCCAGTCATTAAGCGCTGCTGTTGCTAGGCCGTTGGAGCCAATGAGGAAGCAGCCCATGGCTTGTATTAACACGAGCTTTACGGAGCGCTTTTCTAACCCGCTGAGCTTGTTTCGAGAAAGTAGTATGAAGAGAATGAGCGTGGATATGACGAATACTGCATAGATGGCAGATACCCCGGACATTATGCCGACGCGGATACGATAGTTTGTTGAACCCGGTACCCAGTCTGGGAGAATCTCGGGTGTGGACGAGCCCATTGTGCGTAAAATATATATATATGTATATATTATATGTGCGTAAATTAAAAAAATATATATATAGAAAAATAGTTTCGCCAAAGAAAAGAAATTAAAATAAAAAATATTGAAATGGTGAGAGAAATACGGAGGATGCGGCGGGCCCGAAGATATTTTTAGTACAGGTTTTTATGCCTACTACCACTACAGAAAAAAGCTAGAGAAGAAAATATGAGAAGAAAAAAGAAATGATAGGTAAACCGATAAATAAAAAAACAAGAAAAATTATATTTGCTAGTGTAAGATGGGTTAATTAATTGAGGTACACAAAAATAAAAAAAGGTTAACCGATTGACACTTGCAAAAAAAATTGATATACCATGTGTGCTTGGATTTACACCTCACTCGCTGCAATAACGACAGAAAACAAGTAAACATTAAAATAGGAAAGAAAATATACTAATAAACGTGATTTCTCTTGTTGCATTTTAAAAATTAAGTATCTAAATTAGTAAATAAAAATAAAAGTTGGGGGTCGATCAGATCGACATATTGATGTCCGATATTTTTTTTGATAGCTGAAAGTGGTTTGAAAAAAATAAGTGTAAGGGGCAAAAATAAATGAAAAATAAATCAACGCAAAAACAGATACATTAAAAAAAGTATTGCGTTTAGTTAGTTCAATTCTTGTTAAATTGGCGCCTCAATACTGATAGATTTTCTCCATTCAAAAATTTTATTATAGTATAAATACAGTTTTTATAGCGGATTTTTTCTTTGTAATATTTTTTTCTATTGCATACAAAATCCACAATGCGGAATGCAAGTAGTACATGTAAACAAGAAGTGGTCACATCATTGATTTCGTTATATGCCGGATTGGCAGGGCTAAGTGTATTTTTGTGTGTTGTCTGAATTGTCTGAATTATCTATGTGAAAGTGGTTCAATGGTAATCTAATCCTTTCTATCCACGAAGTAATTAAAAATGACTGCATTTGGTATGTAATGAGTAATTTTGCTGGTTATAATAAATATTAATCTGAATGAGACTACGAGAAGAGCTAAAGAGCTCACTATCCAGAATTCGCTGTACGCATGAAATATCATAAACATATTTCACGCGTCTGCGCTGTCACGTGACTCGGCCCCCATTTCTGATGTTACATAGTACCATAAAAAATTTATTAAGATTATATATTAATTAACCAAAATAAAGGTAAATCCAAAAATTTTAAAATTTAAATTAAATGCTCCATAACAGACCTAACCCATTGAGCAGTCAATTTAGTTGGGGCCAGGGTCTGATGGTTGGCCTTAATCTGATTTGCGACTTCCTCGGAAACCTGCTTCAACACACCCCTATCCACATATTCCTTGAGGATTTCAAAAAGATTGTTAACTTTGGCAACCAAAGCATTATCGTCTACGCTGTTTTCCAGAGTTTCAAGTACTGCTTTGGCACTTTTTTGGTCGCGGCGAGTAATAGTGATGCTGGAGCTAGTAACGGCAACTGTGCAGGCAATGAGAGTGAGAAGAGTGGAAAAACGCATGATTTGGTGGTGTGTTTAAGTACAAAAAAATATTAAAAGAATAGTTTTTTTAAACTGTAATATAAAGGTTGGGTAATATTAAAGACAAGATAAAAAACAGGAGGCAGAGAGGCAGAGAGGCAGAAAGACAGAGAGACAAAAGAAAGAAAAATTATATCCTGCTATTGACTATGAGTGAGGCTGTAGTTTTTATCTGTATATTAAAAAACATTTTCAAACAAAACTAAAAAAAAAATAATAAAGTATTGTGCAAATGGAATATACCTGTAACCATTATCTGTGTTAAAATGTCAAAAATTGTTATTATTTGAATCGTGAAACAATATATTAATTTTGGTCTGCACAAGCGCACTATACGAAGGTGATTGTGTTGAACAATACAGCATTTTTTGTATATGCTCTCGATATATTAGTTTCTTGTATTATATAAATGAAATAAAATGAAACGGAAAAAGTGCACGTCGCCACTGATTTTTTTATTAGAACAAATGACTAAAAACACTATTAATTACTAATTATTCATCAGTAATATGGAACGCAACTACAAAACCATTGTTTAGTCGCGCAGCCCGATCGGCGCATACTCCCAGCGTTCAAGCCATCCCCTCACAGCCACAGCAAGCGTCCCAAACACCCCAAACACTGCAGCAACAAGGCAAACCCGTGTAATCGCCGTCCACAAAGCCGGCCCATCCCGCTGCACCGGTTTCTCACATACCGGCGACAGAGAAACCCTACGAGCAACAGATATTTTCTCCGGCTCACCCGTCAGCTCTTCAAACACATACAGAGTATTTCTAACAGACACTTGGCCCTCCCGCGGCATACGCAGGTAGGAGCGCGGCAAGTGGTAGTACTGCTGTGAGATCTCGCCGCATTTCTGGCGACAAACCCTATCGGGCCAAAACCAGCCACCATAGTTGCACAGCTGGCAAGCAAGGTGGGAGCGCTTAGGCGGTGCATGGCGAATCCAGTATCTGCCCAAATGCTGCCCGTTGATCCACAGCTGGCCCTTGGTCATTGACGACATGTCGATTGCGTACCGCGGATGGTCATCCGAGTCTCTGGTTGCAAGTGCCGCTTCGTTGGTTAGAAGAGCCTGGGTATCGAGCTCAATGGCGTACCAGCGCAGCTGCGACCCGCGCTCAGATATGGAAATTTGGGAATCGTATGGCTGCCATGAAATTTTTTCGACTACGGCATGGTCCAGGTCAACGCCCTCAAGACCTGGCTCCATCAGCCATTTCCCCTTGGTAATATCCTTGCCGCAAAAAACAACTCTTCCGAGCAGCCCACGACTATACGCCTCCATATTTGCCTGGTTGTGCGCCATGCCCATGGTCTGGGACAAAACAGAAATGGTCACCACCATATCTTTATCGTGGCTGGCTGCTGCCCGCACAGCCACCGATTCAGGAACGTCAAACGTAAAGTTAGCCAGCCTGTCCTGCTGTCCGTACCGCCATTGAGTGAATTGATCGTTAAAGTACACAAATGCCACGTCTCCGGCATCCTCGAGCACCAGGGTTGGCATCTTGGCGCAGGATTCGGGCACCCGGACTGTAGTGCGGTACCACAAGTAATCAGACGCATCGTCGGTAAGGTTGATTTGTTCCAGCGGACGGTCAGCCTCGATGCTCATGGTCGGCGGCTGTGGCAGCTCGACAGTGCGCCACAGTATCTCCTGTGACCGAAGCACATTTTGAGACTCACTGATGGATTCAAACCCTGCCGGGTGCCTTTGCGCGTGTTGAACGGGTTTGGACAGCGCTGCGGTGTTGTACAGGATGGTGGGCAAAACCGTGTTGGAAGGGCGGTGGACCAGCGTAACGGACCAGCGGCCGAGTTTGATGGGCAGACCATCAAACACCACGTCGATGTCGCTCTTGGGATTGGTGTTAACCAAGAAAGCCAGATATTCAGACCCAGGCTTGCCGTAAATATGTGCCATGGCTTTATCGTTGTTATTGTTAGTCCCTGACACCAGTCTCTGGGCAACTGGCACAGCATTTCCAGTAATCATATGGGCATTGTCCAGGAGGTGTTTGTGCAGCTCGGCAAGATGCAGGTACTTGGGCCAGTTCTCCAAACCGTACTCGTCGAGAAACCCGTCATAGTCGTAGGACGTCTGGATGAATGGGCCTGACGAGCGGCCAAAATTAGTGCCTCCATGGTACATATAGTAGGCCACATATGTGCCGCCATAAGCATACCATTTGGCTACCGCATACGCAATATCCTCAATGGGCCGGTGCGGCGCCGGCTCGCCCCAGCGCTGGAACCACCCGGGCCACATCTCTGTCCACATGTCGGGGAAATCCGGAAACTGGCGGTGGTATTTTTCGAGCTCCTGGTCGCAGTAAAAGTTATTCTGCGTCGGAATTACGTTGGGCACCGGAGAGTATTGGTGGCACATGATCCAGGGCACAGTGAGGTTAAATGCGCCGGCAGTTTCGCCGCACCACCTTGCATACCTGTCGCCGTCCCTTCCGAACCGCCACTGGTGGTCGCCCAGTTCGTTCTCAATCTGCATGCCAATGATGGGGCCGCCCATCTCGGGCATATGCGGCCGCGCAACCTCAACAACCTTGGTCACAAAGCGCTTCATCTCGCGCATGAACGCCTCCGAAGTGCTCCTATAAACCACATCTTCTTCGTGCCGCAGCCACTGCGGGAATCCGCCGTAATTCCACTCGGCGCAGATATACGGGCCAACACGCAGCATGACGAAAAGGCCATTTCTGCGCGCAGTTTCGAGAAACAACGGGAGGTTGGCGCGGTCCGTGGTAAAATCATAATGGCCCTTGGTTTGCTCATGGATGTTCCAAAAGACATATGTGTCGATGGTGTTGAGGCCGCCGAGTTTGGCCTTTTTCATTAGCGAGTCCCACATGGAGGGCGTGCTGCGCGGGTAGTGGACGGAGCCGGCGGTCAGGATGCGCGGCGTGTTGTCAATGAGAAGACCGCGCGTGGAGTATCCGACAGTGTAGGGGTCGCCGGGGACCTGGCGCTCGATGGCCGCATGTGCGCCAGTGCACGATGAAAGAATAGCGGCTAGGGCGAAAAAGATATAGGGCGGAGGTAGACACAGAAACAGCATATGCATTGAAAATAAATAGATAGATAGAATGAAAAACAAATAAATAAATGGAAATGGATTTAATAAGAAGTGCTGGCAAGAAGAAATGACAGGCCCAAAATGTCAGGTTTGTTCAATATCGTCTCCCAATATCACGCTGTATGCTATGTGGGAAAACAAACGGACGCTGCGCATTTATTTATTTATTTATTTATTTATTTGTCATGCGCTCCAAGGCTCGCCGCCGCTTTCACACTTGACACTTAAGCTTTTCACATGGATAAGCATGATGGGATAATTAAGCAAAGGCATGTTTGGCATTTTAACGAATGTAATGAAGAAAAATTGATATATAAAAGTAAAGTAAAGAAATAGAAGAAAAAGGGTAACCCAAAAAGCAAAAAGTAAAGCACACATATTGATAAAAAGGAAGAGGAGAAAAAGAAAAAGAGTGAGCGAGTGACAAACTATAAGAAAGAAAAAAGAGGCGAGAAAAAAGTAGCAAAAACATCCTCATTAATTCTTATTTTCTTCTTCTTCTTCTTCTTCTTCCTCCTCCTCCTCCTCTTCTTCTCTTAGAGCAGCAGACACTTTGACTTTTTCTTGACAGCAGGCGGCTCCAGGGCAGCAACAATAGCCTCATCAAAGACATTCTTCAAACCCTTCTGGGTCAAAGCCGAGCACTCAACGTACTTGACAGCATTAAGTTCTCTCGACAGCTTCTCTCCCTGATCATAGTTGATAACATGCTGCCTATTCCTTGCCAACCTCTCCTTTGTCACACTGTCCTCGCGCAAATCCACCTGAGTTCCAACAATCAAGCAAGGCACACCGGGACAATGGTGGTGGACCTCCGGAAACCACTTCTCCTTGACGTTCTCAAAGGATGCCTGCGAAATGACCGAGAAACACACAAGGAAAACGTCGGTTTGCGGGTATGACAGTGGACGCAAGCGGTCGTAGTCCTCCTGGCCGGCTGTGTCGAAGAGTCCGAGCGTGTATGGGTCTTCTCCGATCATCACTGTTACCGCGTAATTGTCGAACACTGTGGGCACGTACTCGGACGGGAATTTGTTTGTCGTGTACGAGATTAGGAGACAGGTTTTGCCAACCGCGCCGTCACCGACAACCACGCATTTGATAGTCTGCATTTCCCTAGTAAAGCAAGCAAGGATAAAGTAGAAAGGAGGGGGGTGAGAGACATTTAGATTGAAAGAAAAGGCATCTGTTGGAATTTATAATCTCGATTTCGGTGGTGGTGGTGGTGCATTCAACTTACTCTTATTTTGTTTTGACTGCTTCTGTTTTATTCTGTTTCTTTTTGCTCTTGCTAAATCCCAACAAAAAAATAAGAAGAGAAACTAGAATTCAAAAAAAAAACAAAAAAAACCGAATTGGAAATGAAAAAAGAGGGTTTAGAATTAGCAAAAAAAATATATAATAGAATATTAAAAGGGTGTATTATGCTAGGGTTGCTGGTTTTGTTGAAGAAGACTACGACAACGTCCTTTTTTTGTTTTGTTTTTGTTTTTTAATGGTAAAAAATATATATATAATAGTATGCTGGTAATAAAAAAATTGACGAAAAGTAGAAAAATATATATTATAAAAGGAAAAAAAGGGGGGAGAGGAGCGAGAAAAGATGAACAGAAAGCAAAAACAACAACAAAAGCAACAAGCAGTCTGCGAAGAAAGAAAGAAAACAACAACAAAGGAGAAGAAAAAAAGAAAGAAAAATGGGGGGTAGGAGTGATTACAACAAAAAAATTGCAATTTTTTTTACTTTTTTTTTTTTTTTTTTTTTTTTATTTAGTTTTTTTTACTTGCAATAGAATTCAACCCAGCAGCAAAACCACCGATGATGATTGATAGTTGATAGCTGATGTCTGCCTAAGAAAAATAAAATAAAATAAAACAAAAAGTGAGAAAAGAAATTGCATATGCTTAAAAGACATTTATCAATCAATCAAACACAACTCGACTCGACTATCCATGCGTTCACTCGAAGTAAAATAAATAAATAAATAAATAAATAAAATCTTTTAATTTTTAAAAGTAATTATTTTACCTATAAAAAGGTTATAGTTTAGTTTCTATTGTGTTTGCGTGCTGCTGCTGCTGTGATGTTGCTGTGTTTTAAACACAAGAATGGACACGCCCAAAACAAAAGCTGTGCTGGGTTTTTTTTTGCCAATGAGAATGGAAAAGAAAACAAAAAAAATGGATGCTAATTTTACAACTCAACCCTTATCCCCTATCCCCCTTTTTAGTTTCTCCTTTTCATCCCCCTCTTCCGCCTCCTCCGCTTTCTTCTCTCTCCCCACATACATTCATTCATTCACTCATTCACTCATTCATTCACTCATACAAATCCCTATCCCCCCTCCGCTCTTTCTATGCGTGAGCCTTGAATTTTTTAATCACCCCCTTTTGCAAAGGAAAAAAGAAAAATGATCGGCCAAGATCTCTAAATACTGTTTTTTTGCTGTTTTGGTACCCGCTCGGACAATATCACGGGCAAAACCATTAAGCCCAAAAATAAAAGAGCCTTTTTTGGCGTACTCTTCGGAAGACTGGGCCGCACATGGGCCATGCCATGAACAAAAGGTGATTGTGATTGCTCACCATTGAATTCTTTGTTGTCAATAAAAAATGCTCCTTTATTCAGCATACAAACAGGGATTCGGCTTTCTTACAGCTTGGCGGCCTTGCGCTCAGACACCTCAAGGGCCTGCAGGGCCTGCTTCCAGTCCTTGGCCAGGTCGTCAAAGCTCTCCAGACCAACGCTAATGCGCAGCAGGGTCGGCTGAGCCGAGCTATCCCATCCGTAGCGCCAGTCAACCAGCGACTCAACGCCGCCGAGGCTCGTCGCAAAGCGGTGCAGGCCCAGCGCGCGGGCAACAAACAGCGCCTGGGACTTGGACGCAAAGCTCACCGCGAAAACCGCGCCAAAACCATTGGGGTGCTGCAGGGCAATGTTGGGGTTGCACTGGGCACCGTTAAGCTGCAACGACGCGTGCTGCACCGAAGCAATATGGCGGCCAAGCGACAGCTGCTCCTCGCACGGCTTGTGGCACTGGGTGGTGATGGCCGAGCGGCGGATGCTCTCGAGGAAGGAGACCAGCCGCGTTGCGGTCACCGACTGCTGCTTGACGCGCACAGAGAGTGTGCGCAGCGAGCGCAGAAGAAGCCAGGTCTCCAGGCTGCCGGTGCCCAGGCCCAGCACGTACCGGGTCTCGCGCAAGGCGACAGCGCCGGTGGCTGCGCGCACGACGACGACGCCGGCGAGGAGGTCGGAGTGGCCGCCGAGGTACTTGGTGGCCGAGTGCACGACCACGTCGGCGCCCTGGCGGAACGGGTAGCTGATTGGGGGCGGTGCCAGCGTAGCATCCACGACCAGCACCGCGCCAGCAGCATGGGCGCGCAGCGCATATGCGGCAATGTCCTTCACCTCGCCGGTGGGGTTCACCGGCGACTCCAGCCACACAAGGTCAACGCCATCGTACGAGCACTCTGACCCAACCACCTGCACATTCGGCACCAGCGCGCGGTACTGCTCAATGACCTTGCGGACGCCGAAGTAGCTCTCGCCCAGCGCGATCTTCTTGGGCTTGTACTGCAGGAGAACGGCCAGGGAGGCGGTGAGGCCTGAGCCGTAGAGGACGGCGTGGCCCTCGGTGATTGTGCTGAGGACGGACTCGGCCTTGGTTGTCGTCGGGGTGCTCTCGCGAGAGTAGGCGTAGCGCTGGTCGGGGCCGTAGTTGCAGGCGTCGACTGTGGTCTTGGCGTACTCGAATGTCGTGCTGACGCTGATCGCCGGAGCAACGTCCGAGGTCACCTGGAGGTGAGCATCGGCGTGCAGAGCTTGCGTGGACAGGCAGGCGGTATCGTACAGAGGGTTCTTGATCTCGACCATTGTTTGGAATTAAGAAAAGTGCGTGAGAGCGAGATGAAAAAGAGATGAAAAAGAGATGAAAAAGAGATGAAAAAGAGATGAAAAAGAAAAAGGTTGTGCTTTTTTACAGCCAGAGAAGTGAGAGCTGAGTCTCACTTGCTCGGTCTTTGGATCCTTTTATACGGGAATAATCCTTCGGCCATTTCGTTTTCGCCATTCTTTTTTCGTTGAGTGGGAGGCATTTGCCGGGGGTCGGGTCGCCCTTTGAAAGAAAAGCTCTTTGAAAGAAAAGGAACGCTCTTTTTCTATTTAATTTGCTTCCTGATGTTGTAATAGTTGCATTCATTGGTCAAGAGCCTCGAATAGAACAATAATACAAGAGCAAAGGCGCACAAGACTCCGAGTTTGAATAAAAAACTTCTGCTATCTGTGCCTTTATTGTTCTAATTTCTTATTTATTTGCCGGATAAGGGGGAGCAGTTCTAAGGAACCCTTTACACTTCAATGTGTAATAGGCACGTTCCGCTTTTGTCGGCAATTTAACACTGCAACTGTCTATTTTTATTTTTATCTTCCTTGTCCAGATTAATTTGTTGGAAAAAATATTCCCATCCCACAAAAAAGAAGCGGGAAAAACCAGCTCATTTCCCACATTTGTGACCCGGAACCCCCTCTCGTCATTCCAATATGGATTGTGCTTAGAGCCACAGTTTTTTTGAGTGCTCCTGTCCGTATCCTGTTCTGAACCTGAATACCATTGGTGCACGCACATGGCCGAAAGAAACAGCAAATGAATGGGTGAGTGAGTGAGTGAATAAGAGAAAACAACGCATGCAACGCATTCGATCTCTGCTTACGTCGTCTGCGCAGCCATAAAAAAACAAAGAAAAAGAAATGGTATCTCATGCGCAAACACACCCGCATCCTAAGCGCTGATTTCTTTTAGATTAAATTTAAAAATTCAAAATTCAAAATCATTCCATGATTAACAAAGCCCGCCGCTATAACCTTGCTAATCGTTATTTCTTTCGATTGGCTCTTTTTCTGTTTTGTTTCGTTTTTCGCATTTTTTATTTACAAGTTTTCTCAAATTGACAGCCATTCAAATTATTGTTTTTTTTTTTAAAAAAATGAGTACAGTTGCCGTGCTCAAGCTCAGCAAGCGGCTCCTAAGCCAGCGCATAACCACCGCCCACCGCTCGATCCCATCTGCACCACACATCCTCCAACACCGGCGCCCCTACACCACCGCCAAGAACGCTAAACCGATCTCCAGTGGCCGCATAGCGCAAGTGGCCAGCACCACCGGTAACCTTCTCCTAGTAGGCAGCGTAATGACCCTCTTCGGCTACCTAATGTACACGCTCTACGACAACCTTCTTTCAGAAAGCGGCACCACACACATCTACAATAACAGCCTGGATCTGATCCGAGCCCACCCGGAAATAAAGAAACTCTTCGGCCACTCTGTTGCTGGATTCGGCGAACCCACCCACGGTCAGAGACAAAGACAACGGGCTATAGCCCACAACATATTCGAGGATTCCCAGGGCAGGCAGAGACTGACTATGCAGTATTATATTAAAAACAGATCGGACAAGAATGCTGCTGGGTTGATTGGCGTGGTGAAGGTGGATTTGGCTCAGTCGAGGTTTACAAAAGCCTGGGATTATAATTATATTGTTGTGGATTTGGTTGATAAGGCTGATGGGGGTGTCCGGGGGAGGGTGGAGGTTTTGGTCACGGATGAGTTTAAGAGAGAGGTTGAGGTTAGCGAGAGTGAGAGGAAGAAGAGGAGGTTTTCGTCCGAAAACAAGGGATCGTCGGATGGTTCGTGGTTTAGCGCTTTGAATCCTGCACATTGGCGCAAATAACTTTAGGTTTCACATTAACATTTTCAATGTGTGTATAAAAAAAATTGTTTGTGACTTCTCCACAACAAAAAAATATGACGCCTTCCTTTATTATTAGGTTAACCTCAAAGCCACGCGTATCTGACATTGGTACATTTGTAAAAATAAAACCAAGCTATTTATTTTGTGGAGTGATTCTTTTTCTTCATTGCAGGATCAAAAAAATATTTAAAATAAGGGAATGATGTATTGAATTATCAATAATATAAAAATGTTTTAAAGGCATATGAACTACCCATTAGAAAATAAACAAAGAATCAAGATACGCATGGAAGTGTTAGTTTTTACACCATTATAAATTACAATTTTTTTTAAAAAAAATACAAGGCGCATATGAACCTGCCATCAATTGAAAATTATTATTCCAATATAAATACTGACCGACAACCCCATCTCTCTTCATTCATATTTCAACATACAATACCAGCATCCAAAGTTCGTCTTTACATTCACGCATACATTTAACTTTTTTATCCGTATTTTATGCATTAACCTACAAATTATTCACATTTTAAATTTAATAAATCATTATAGTTTACATTATTTTATAAAGAAAAATGTTTAAGGGAAAGTTTTCATTTGTTCTTGTCGTCGCCATTGCTGCCGCCACCGCCTCTGCCTCAGGCCACCTCGCTGTTGCCAGAGCCAACGTTAATGCAAACAACACCCCCTCAACCTTGCCCCCGTCGCCGGGGGTAGTGATCTCGATATGATCGCCCCCATGATGCTCGTAACCGTTGAGACCGCCACCCAGTTCATG